GTGTGTGTGTGTGTGTGTGTGTGTGTGTGTTATACAGAGTATGAAAAATTTTTTATGAGTTTTACGCAAAAGAAAAAAACTTCTTAGAGTGTATATTACAGTGTAGACACAAGCCGAGCGCCCCTCCCCTCCTGCACRGAGAGCAGCAGAACCTCCAACTGAAAATCATTTCCTGTTTTCAGTGCACCAACGTCGGGGCAACACGATCCAATCRGTACAAGTAGCCCATCAATTTAAAGTCCAGACTCTGCTGTTTCCAAAAATATAAGTGTCACTGCTCTACATGAAAAATCGACAGAACAAGCAGCCAAGGAATAGTAGAAAAGGCTTYATTCTGGATGTCTTACCTTTGTTTTTTATGGGTTTAATCCTCTTTAGAGTAATTTTTTCCACTTGGCTGGACTTTTGTCAACTCGTGAGTTTCCCGTGTTAATGTTGGTACATGTAATATGCAAATCCTGTACTGTGGACAGCAGCCACTGAGTGAAAAAAGTCTARYCTAWCACAATGTTGCCTGCGAACAAGAAGTGCTGTCCGTGGCCAAAAAATACGGAAGTGCTAGAACGGAGGTCCGTGGCATACAGGCTATTCTACATTATGAATGAGGTTTGCGAATGCAAACAGAACTTGAAAAGCTTAGTAACATAGCAATTGTTTTGATGTGAACATTGTGAACATTTTATTTCATGRCTTTTAGTGATACTGCCTAATGCAACAATCAAATTGTCCTTTTGTWATGTGCAGTGAATGAAGCACATGTGTTTTCATCTCATCTCCATTTGACCACACCCAAAACAACAAAATAACAATACTGTGTGTATTTTCAGGGTTTTCATCCTTATATTGGTGTGTATTAGCCTGCTGTGGATTCCAGTGGTTCAGACAGCCAACAGTGGACAGCTCTTTGAGTATATTCAATCGGTCACCAGTTTTTTAGCTCCACCCATCACTGCTGTTTTCATAATGGCAATCTTCTGGCCTCGTGCCAATGAGCAGGTAGGTCACAAACATYTACATACGTATATGTTGTTGCTGTGACTGGTATGAAGTCATCTCCTGTCTGTTCAGTGTAACTGATGTACTGTAAATACATATAGTAACACCTATTCTGAAAAGTTAGGACATTCTGGAAAATGTTAAAGGGGCAATATTATGTGTTTCCCAGGCATAAATTGAAATTCTGTACTATAATAAATTACTATGTCACCTTCAGTTGTTATTAAAATGCTGTTTTATGTTTAGATAAAAAATACACTTGACTTCTCATCATATCCATTTCTAAACACCTTGAAATTGGCCTCTGTCTCTTTAAGAACCTCCTTCTGATCCCATCATGCCTATTTCAGCACATCGTCAGGGCCGCTTCATCATCCTGGTAGATGGAAGCAGATTTTTATCAAGAATGTCTCTGTACATTTTTCCACTCATCCTTCCTTCAATTATTTGAAGTTTGCCAGTAC